GTCCATTTCTATGTTTTTCCCCATATCCTAAGATGGGGTTCTTGTTCGTCCCCATATCGTAAGATGGGGTTCTTGTTCCCCATATCCAAAGATGGGGTTCTTGTTATTGGCGGACCGCGCCGGAAGGACACAGAACAGGACAGAACACCACACTCATCACTCAGACTCACTCATCAAGACTCACTCATCACTCAGACTCAGTCCTCACTCAGACACACCACTCATCACTCAGACTCACCACTCAGATTCACTCATCACTCAGACTCACTCATGCTCTCTCATCACTCAGACTCAGTCATCACTCAGACTCAGGCGATTCGCTCGTCTCAGCAATCTAAGGGGGGCGGCGGGGGGGTATTTCACGGGGTCCCGTTCGCGGAATTTTGTGGGGATGTCTCAGGCGGTTTGGCCATTTTCTGATCCAACATGTTTCGTTTTCGGAGCAGATTTGGAGGATGTCTCAGGCGATTCGCTCGTCTCAGCACTCTAAGGGGGGCGGCGGGGGGGTATTTCACGGGGTCCCGTTCGCGGAATTTTGTGGGGATGTCTCGAGCGGTTTGCCTGTTTTCTGTGCCAGCATCTTTCGTTTTCGGAGCAGATTTGGAGGATGTCTCGAGCGAGGCGCTCATTTTGACCTCCCAGGTGGGCCAGATTTTGAGGATGTCTCGAGCGGTTTGCTTGTTTTGGTGGCCAGGCTCGTGGGCGCAGATTCTTCTCAGGATGCCACAGGAGGCTCCCACAGGCTCCAGGAGGCCCCAGGAGACCACATGAGGTCCCAGGAGGCATCAGGAGGCCACAGAAAGACTCAAGAGGCTACAGGATGTCCCAAGAGGCTCCAGGAGGCCCCAGGAAGCTCCAGAAGGCCTCAGGAAACCACAGGAGGCCCCAGGAGGCAACAGGAAGCGCCAGGAGGCCTCGGAAGGCAACAGGAGGCCCCGAGAGGCCCCAGGAGCAGGAGGCCTCAGAAGGCAACAGGAGTGGCTCCAATCCCATGTGTTTTACGTATGCTCCTATCGATTGGGCCTCACCTGGAGCACGATTCTTTGATGTTATACGTATGTTTCTATATATTGTCCTTCTCCTGTGTACACAATCCTATATGTTTTACGTATGTTCCTATATATTGGGCCTCTCCTGGGGCACGAGTCCTTGGTGTTTTACGCGTGTTCCTATAGATTGCCCTTCTCCTGTGGCTCTAATCCGCAATGTTTTATGTACGTCTGTTGCTATATATTGCGCCTCTCCTGGGGCACGAAACCTCCCTAGGAGGTCCCAGGAGGCCCCAAGAGGCTCCTGGAGACCCCAGGAAGCCCCAGTAGGTTTCAGGAGGCCCCAGGAGGCCCCAGGCTCATGCACAAAGACGCGCTCGTACTACTGAGGCTCATTCACACTCCAATTCATTCGCAGTTAGATTTATGTCCAGACCGTCACAACTGAAGCCCGTGTATATTCGAAAGCTCTTGCGCCTAGACATTCACGGCGGACAGGTCCATGCGAATAGATGCACATATGGGGAGCTCCACGCAGTGAATAATTATTACTTGGACGCCTCCTACTTCCTCTCCTCCTCCTCCTCTCCTCCTCCTCCTCCTCTCCTCCTCCTCTTTCGTCCTTTTCTCCTGTCGGACTTACACATCCTTGGCTTTCATCGCAGATTGTGGGGATGTCTCAGGCGGGGCGCTGGTTTCAGCACTCCTAAGGGGAGCCGCCAGAGGGGTATATCACGGGCCCGTTCGCGGCCAGTTTGTGAGGATGTCTCAGGCGGTTTGCTCGTTTTCATGCCCAACATCCTTGGCTTTCATAGCAGATTGTGAGGATGTCTCAGGCGGGGCGCTGGTTTCAGCACCCCTAAGGGGAGCCGCCAGGGGGTATATCACGGGCCCGTTCGCGGCCAGATTGTGGGGATGTCTCAGGCGGTTTGTTCGTTTCCATGCCCAACATCCTTGGCTTTCATAGCAGATTGTGAGGATGTCTCAGGCGGGGCGCTGGTTTCAGCACCCTTAAGGGGAACCGCCAGGGGGTACATCACGGGCCCGTTCGCGGCCAGTTTGTGGGGATGTCTCAGGCCGTTTGGTCGTTTTCATGCTCAGCATCCTTGGCTTTCATAGCAAATTGTGAGGATGTCTCAGGCGGGGCGCTGGTTTCAGCACCCCTAAGGGGAGCCGCCAGGGGGTATATCACGGGCCCGTTCGCGGCCAGTTTGTGGGGATGTCTCAGGCGGTTTGCTCGTTTTCATGCCCAACATCCTTGGCTTTCATAGCGAGGATGTCTCAGGCGGGGCGCTGGTTTCAGCACCCCTAAGGGGAGCCGCCAGGGGGTATATCACGGGCCCGTTCGCGGCCAGTTTGTGGGGATGTCTCAGGCGGTTTGCTTGTTTTCATGAACAGACGCTCACTGCGGCATAAGATAGAACATGAGATGCACATATGGGGAGCTCCACGAAGTGAGTAATTTTTTTGGTTGGGGGGTTGGGGGTTGGGGGGGGGCAAAAGGACAAATCCTGGCCGCGCACACCCACTCACACACCACCACCTCGTGTCCCTCCTCCTCCCTACTGCCTCTACCACCTCCCCGTCCCTCTACCACCTCCCCCCCCCGCGTCCTCCTCCCTCCCCCCCCTCCTTTGCTGCCCCCCTTCCCCTTCCTACTTCAGGGTGCTCACGTTGTTACCTCACGGATCCTTTTTTGAGGGGATCCTGATCACAGACGCCTTCGCTAAGCACTCCTCATTCCATGGTCCTCACTAAAGATTCCTTGCTAAAGGCATCCTTACTGACGAATGCTAGCCTGAAGCGTTCTCGAGAAGGACCCCTCAGTAAAAAGGTGACTTCTCCCTTGAGTCAGGCATCCTTGCGAATGAATGTTTATTGAACTTGCCCTTACCAAGGACCACGCAGTAAAAGGTATAAGGCGCAGCAAGACGTGGCAGAGCTTACCAGGGCTGAGTATAGCGTGGCAAGGGCGCAGGGCTTAGCATACTTTTAGCAGGGCTGAGCAAAGCCAGCCAGGGCCCAGCAAGGCTTAGAAGAGCTTAGCAAGGGTTGCCAAGCCTAACTGGGCTTAGCAAGGCTTACCAAGCTTGGGAGGGCTTAGCAGAGCTTAGATCGAATGCGCTCGTGACACAATTCGCACTAAAAGGGGGCCTCCGCTTCAAGCTACCCCCCCCGGGAAATGGGGCGGGGCTTCCGAAGCTACCCCCACTCCCTTTCGTTGGCCTTTTTTGCTGGCTAAAGGAGGGGAGTGCTTCGAAGCTAACCCCCTCTCCCGCCCAGCCCGCCTCTCGACGCCCGGTAGCACCTGGTGAGTGCGAGGGTTCGCCCAGAACGAACGAACGAACGAGGCGCGAGTCGTCCCTGCCCTTGGCATCGCCTGGGCGTGCGCATTCTTTCGGCGAGGGCCACCGAGGAACCTCTTGGAGCATCTTGCCAACAGATGCGCGCACGGAGCCGGCAAAAAACACGGGGAATGGGCGTCCGAGCGACGGCGGGGCAAGGGGATGTTCCGGCTGGCGGCCTGCGCGGGGCGGCCGTGGCCACTCACTCCGTCAGCCTGTTGAGCTCCTTCACGGTGCAGTCCAGGAGTAATTATTGATAAAACCATTTTCCCTGCAGATCCCGAGGGTTCGCCCAGAGGCGCGAAGAGGGGCGCCCAGCTGGGACCCCCAGTCAGGGGACACACTGGGGAAGGGGTGTTGTCGGGCGTTTCCTCAGATCTCGGCGGCTTTCCAGCCTCGGGATGCGTTCCAGCAGCTGAGCCTCGCCGAGAGTGTCCCGTTTTTGGCTGCCAGAGAGCTGAGGTATGACCTGAGAGCCAGGTGGCAGCGCTAGTTTGGGACTGGCCCAGGGGGGACTGCATCGACCCCAAATCACCCGCTCACCGCCGGTTTGGGGCCCGATGGCCTGCCCCGCCTGGGAAGGTGCGGCTTCGCTGTCGGGGGCCTATCGCCGATCATTCGGCGTTTTATTGCCGATGTCAATGTCGATGTTTCCACCCTGAGCCACCCAGAACGCTCTTTCTCAGAGCGGGGATCCCCAGGGGGACACAGGGAAGCGGCCGTCGTGCCAGAGAAGGGGGTTTGCGCAGTGTGTTATTCTTCTAGTGTGGTCTGCCGACAGCAGCTTGCTTGCCGATATTGGAGCCCCGGCGCTGTGCCGAGGAGGCAGACGGCATGTCGATCGATCTTCGGCTGTTGGCGTCTCCCTCGCGTTCCTCCCCTCCCCCTCCCTCCAAAACGTTGTGCCGAAACAGGACAAATTTCGGGATTGGTTCTGGAGGGAGAATACTTGGCCGTAGGCTCCGTGCATCCGCTTCGGTCTGGAGGTGCCCGCACTTCTTGTCGGGGCATCGTGTACAGCTCGCGCTCCTGCGTCAGTTCGCGCGCACGCACAGGCTCCACGTGTCTGTTTCTCCTTGCGTCCCTCAGTGCACCTGTCTTGCACACTCCGCCTCCCTGTTCGCCCCTTCGTCTCTCACTCTAGGTCTCCTAGATGGGGTCGGAGTAGATGGGGCCAGAGGATCGCGCCGCATCGCCGATGCATCGACGGTGCGGCTCGATAAGGAGCCAATGTTTCCCCGCGCCGACGTCGCCGATGCATCGCCGATACATTGGTGATGCATTTGCGATGCAGTGTGATCCTCCGGCCCCATCTACTCCGACCCCATCTAGGAGGCTTCTACTCACCCTCCCTGCGTACTGTCTCTGCTTTCGACCTCCCCGTGAGTCTACCTGTGCCGCTGTCTGGACGCTCACTCTGTCCAGCGAGCGGCTGTGGCCCTGGCAGTCTCTGCCTGCCGGTCCGTCTGGCCGTCCACCCGCCCGTCGCCGCGGAGAGACCCCGCGGACAGAGCGGCGGCCAGAAGGTCGGCCACGCGCAGATGGGGGTGTGGGGGAGAGGGGAAGGCTTCTCAGAAGCACCCCTGCTTCCAAGAAGCTCCCTTCCCCCTACTCCTTTGTGCGCGCCGTCCAGAAGAGGCGTGGTGTGGTGGCGAGTGGCTGACAGGATGCACGGAAGTCTGCGACATGATCAAGGGCATGAAGGAGCCCGCGCTTCTTGCCTCTCCTGAGCTGCCGCTCCAACTGGAGCACGCGCGGACCAGACGAAAGGATTGTTGGGTAAGTGGAGGGGACGTGTCGGGTCAGCCGTCGGAGTTGCTGGAGGAACATCCACTTGGACCACCATAAGCGGAACAGTCCTGGGGCGTTTCGTGATGGGGCGGCGATACATGGGGATGGGGGCGATCTGGGGCTGCAGGAAAGGCCGCCCTGAAATGGCCCAGAAGGTGCGCCCTGGGTCTCCGAAGGTGCACGAGAAATGTGCACCTCTCTTTCACCCCCCCGGGTCGAGCGATGCCCGATGTTCCGAGCGTCTGCTGAACTCTTTGGGCGCGTTCCACTACTCGCAAAGTGCCTAATGGCAAACGTCCGAACACTGTAGTGGACCGCGCTTGTCTACGAACAGTCCTGCCTGTTCGATCGATTCCTCCTGGAGGTGCGTTCACTGCAGGGTCTCGCCAGTGGGCGTGCTGACCACGAGGGGGCCTCCGGGGCCGGCGGCAGGGGGCCAGCCAGCGGGGGAGAGGGCGAGGCCCGCGCTCGTGCCTGCGAGCGGGCGGTGTGGCAACAGCGGGCGCGCTCCCAGCCCTCTCTCTCTCTCTCTTCCTCCGAGCTCTCGGCCGTAGAGAGAGAGAGAGAGAGAGAGAGAGAGAGAGAAAAAAAAGAGAGGGAGGAGAAAGAGAGACAGAGCGTGAGAGGGAACAGGACGGAGGCGAGGGAGGGAGTGAGGGCTGGGAGGGAGGGAAGGGGGGGTGGGGCAGGGGAAGGGGAATGGCAAGTGGAAGGGGAAGGGGGAGCGGAGGGAGAGAGGGAGGGAGAGAGAGTGGGGTGCCAGACTGCATGGGCGCGTCGCGCCGTGCGTCTTGCTTCTCAACTGCTCGAACAAAACAGGGGTGGGGCAGCGTGCAGGCGAGCACGAGACCACGCCCACGGGGTGGTGACACACGTGGCTCGAAAGTTGTGCAACCACATCACAGCCATAGGCCGAGTCAAGGTGATGCGGCATCATTGCTCAAAGGCATGGCACCACGGAGCTTAGATTCCTCTCGTCTCGCGGGGTGCATCTGGAGCAGCGATCGCCACGCTCCGCTTCCTTCTTCTCAACACATAGACAAGATGAATCCTGCTTTCCTCTCTCCCCCGAAGAGACATGTTGATAGTATCTCGCCCTCTCCGTTTAATCACTGACTACATGTCCTACGTTTTGTTTAGCTTCTCTTGTTCCTTCCAATGTGAGCGTTTTCTGTCCTTGGAAAACGATGCCCCTGCTGCAGGGCGGGCCTCATCTTAGGATCGGCGCTTTGCTTCTTGGGATCCTCCGGGGGTCTCTTGGGGCCCCGTCGGGTCGTCTTGTGGCCGCCTCGGCCGAGCTTCGGGCCCTTGGGGCCTTCTCGAGGGTCTCGTGGGACCGCCACTTGGGGCCACCTTAGGCTCTCTTCGGCCTTGCAAATTCCTTCCTGTAGCCACCTTGAGCCGAGAAACCCAGAAATTCAAGCGCCTGGGCAGCCTCTTGGATTTGGATGGATTCTGGCTGTCCAACACCCTGATTTGGAGGCTCTGATGCGCTCCTGGAAGCCTCGTCGGGCTCCGTTTTTTGGTACGTTTGTTTGTACGTATGTATTTTTGTCTGTCTGTCTGTCTGTCTGTCTGTCTGTATGTATGTATGCATGCATGTATGCATGTATGCGATATGTGCTCTCTCCGAGTGGTTTATGCCCCAGGAAACGCCCAAATAAACGGCCAGCCGTCCGTGGACTCCGTAGTCATCTTGTGTTCGAGGGCCCCGGGGGGCTGTCCGCCCGCACTTGTTGTCGAGTGCTCCCCCGGGGCCCGCTTTCAGGAGTTTGAGCCTGGAACTCCGTTCCCCTGCTGGTGCCTCTTCGGTGCCTCCCCGGGCACCAGCAGGCCATGGTTGCCGGGCGCGTGCTCGGTGGATTGGCAGAGGCGTGAGCATGGTATCTGGAGACGAGCCAGTACGCTTGGCGCGGCCAGGGCTATGGATCACCACAGAGCACGCGCCGGAGGCCCTGCAGGCGTTGGAGCTCGCAGCAGGCGACCTGGTGCAGGTCGGGGTGCTGGACGCCAACTTGGCCTCGCAGGACTCCGAGATTGTCCGCGTCGTTGGGGTGTCGACTCTCGACCAGGAAGGCCTCCTCTTCGAGTTCGAGAGCTTGGGCGCTTCGGACGTGTACTTCGAGTGGTACGCCCGGGCTCGGGGGGAGAGCGGAGCTCGGCCCGACGACACCCTGCTGCACGTATGCGCCGTGCAGGCGAAGGCTTGTCGAGCGACGGGGCCTGCAGGATCGGCGGTCGAGCACGTCAACCTGATCCGCCTGATAAGCGAGGAGGAGGCGCTCGAGCTGCTGCAGAGCTGGGGATGCGAGCAGCCTCCTGGGGCCAGCGGCGCGGGGGAGAGCGGCCGGTGGCCCGCCAGGCAACGGGCCAAGGCGGCGCCAGCGGCACTCAAGCCTGGGCAGCGGAGGGCGCTGCCAGCCTTGAGCCCGCATCCGGAGATCGGGCCGACCGACGACGAGGAGGGCAGCGAGGAGGTGCCCGGGGTCCTCGAGGAGCAGCCGGGGCCGCCTTCCGAGCCTCGTCGCGCGCGGGCGCTGCTGCAGCTGCCTGGCCCGAGGAGCGCGGGGCGCACTCGTGCCGCCCTGCCGATGCCTCGTGGTCGCCGCGCCCCGCGAGAGGACGAGCTGCCTCGTTCGAGGAGCGGGGGGCGCGGCGGGGGCGACCCGCTGGACGAGGCCTTGGTGGGCCTTGAGCGTGGATCCGCCGACGGCGGCAGAGCGGCCGAGCTGCTGCAGCGCCGAGGGGGGCCGGGCGCCGAGGATCGCTTGCCGGATCCTCAGGGTGCTCGCAGCAGCCAGGACGCGCAGACCGTGCTGGCGGCGCGCGCCGCCGAGAAGGCTGCTGCAGCGAGGCCCTCGCGGGACCGCATGGCGATGAGTTCGTTCGAGCGGCAGCTGTGCGAGAGGTTGTTGGGGCGGAGGGCCCTGACTGGCGACCGCGAGTCGGATGGCGAGCAGGTAGGCGACTCGGAGCACGAAGTGGACATGGACTCGCGGGGCGCGAAGGGACGGCACGACCACTTCATCGAGCTGGCCGCTCGGAAGCCTGGACTGCTGCTCAGGAGCGGACTGGAGCAGCTGAGGAGGCAGTTCGCTGGGCGGGGGCCGTCGGGCGAGCTGCCAGCATGCTTCGCGGCGTTCCTCGACGCGGTGTTCTTCCTCGAGCACGGGCCGAAGGCCATCGGCGCGGCCGAGGTGCGGCTGCTGCGGACGCACTCTCGCGTGCTGGACCTGGCTCTGGAGGGACAGACCGTGCAGGTGCTGGGCGTGGTCATGCAGGAGTTCAAGGCACGAGCCTTTGCCATCAAGGATGGAGGCTGGCACGCGGCGTAGTGGCTTGCCTCGGTGCCGATGGATGCCGAGCCGTGCGCCGCCTCGAGGACGGAGGAGACTGCGGCGAGAAGGGTCGCGCACGCCGAACTCAGAAGGGAAGAGCTCCGGGCAAAACTGCATCTGAAGAAGAGCTCTCTCTAGGGACTCGGCCGGGGGAGGTCGCCCGAGGGGGCGGCCCCTCCTGCAGGCCTCCACGGGGGCCGCCCGCGCGCTGCAGTGGGCGGCGCCCCCGAGTCCCTCTCCCGGCTGGCCGCAGCGCCGACGGAACCGCCGTCGAGCGAGGTCCGCCGCGTGGCCGCAGCTGCGATCGGAGCCGGTCGTCCAGCCCCTCGGCGCGGCCGCGGGAAGGGCGGGGGAGGCCGCCCTGGCGGGCGCGGAGCGGCGCCGCCGCCGCAGCCGCCGCGGGGCGTGAGCAAGGAGCCAGTGCGGCGCGTGGCGATGGCGGAGGAGGCGGTGGTTGCCCGGGCCGCGGGCCAGCCGACGTACAAGGAGCTGAAGGCGCAGCGCCCCAGGCGCGAGAAGGAGACGAAGAGGGCCTACAGCGTCAGGATGGCAAAGCTGCGGGCCGAGACGAGGTAGACGGGCAGCGGCGCGAGGCCGGGAGATCAACGCCCGCCCCGCAGGCTCTCGGCAGGGAAGCGTGTTCTGGCGCGGCAAGTTGCAGCAGGACGCGTCTGGAGTACATCGTAAAGTTGATCGACACCTGCCGCAGGGACCCAGGTGGGCACGGGTCCTTTCTCCGCCACTCTGGTTCGGCTCAGCCAGATCCGCGGGTAGCGCGTCGTCAGGGCCTCCCCCCGCTGACCTTGCCGGAGCAGGGGCCTTTCCAGGTGGTGAAGAATATGTTCGAGAGCGGCAGGGCGCTCGACCACGACGTCGAGCTGATCTACAGGGGGCGCGGCGAAGGTCTCGAGTGGGTCATCATCTGCGGGCTCAACTTCGAGGCTGGGGGGCGGGAGGGCGGATCTCCCGCGCCCCGGCCTCGATTGGCCAGCCTTGCCCAGCGGGCCGCTTGGGGCCTCATTGGCGAGGCCGCGGCCTACTACTGCAGGGGGCCGCTCGCCGTGCATGAGGAGCTGGACTGGGGCAAGGTCGCGCAGGCAAAGGCGCCCGCCTTTAACGGGCAGGAGGTCGAGCGAGGCTGCCCATTGGTGCTGGGCAGGCCCCTCCCGGGGGTGCCTGCAGCAGGGCTTGTGGGGCCTGCCAGCGCCCTGGACCTCGAGGGTCCGCGCGCGCTGAAGTGGCTCCTGGGCCCGACGACCCTGCTGAAGCCCCCTTCAGAGTGGCCGACGGAGGTGCCGAGGGCGTCAGTGCTGGTAGCGAGCGACGAGGAGGAGTACTGCATCTGCGAGCACCTCGTCCGAATAGGAATCTTCGAGCAAATCGAGGAGGAGGCCATCTTCAGCATCGACGGGGCGCCCGGTCGGGCAGGGGCGTTCGCCGTCGTTAAGAAGGGGGCCCCCGCGACGGGCCTCTCGAAGGTCACGCGCCAAATCATCTACACCGTACACCAGAACGCTTACCAGCGCATCGCCGAGACCGACCTGGACAGCCTGACGCCGAGCTCGTCGTGGACGGGCTTCGTCCTGTGCGAGAGGCAGGCGCTCTCGTGGTCGTCGGATGACCAGTCAGGCGCCTTAAACTTGTACTCGCTGCCGCCGCAGTGGTGTGGCTACATGGCGGTGCGGAAGCAGGTGCCTGGCGCCCGTGTAGGCAGGCCCGACCTCAAGTGGGTCCGTAAGTCCGGTGCCGTGATCCTGATGGGATGGTTATCTGCGGTCGGCCTGCACCGGCACCTCGATCGCCGGCTGGGCATCGGAGACGGGCCGCGCAGCGCCGGGTTCGCGGAGTCCAGCGAGTGGAGGCGCAACCAGCCGCTTCCGCTGTTCTCACGGAAGCTGCAGCAGGCTTCGGCTCAGCGCTACCTGGATGACTTCGACGCGCCCGAGGTTGCGCCCGAGAGCGTCGCCATCATGATCGAGGACACGATCGGAGAGTACCAGCTCAGGCAGCGAGAGGTCTGGGCCGTCCCTGAGCTCAGAGCGGCAACCGCTAGTGCGGTGAAGGCGCTCGTAAAGCCGTTTGAGCTGCCAGCTGAGGCGCGCGCTGGGCTGCTCGCAGAGGAGAGCCTCCTGCCGCTGGGCTACGCCGACATGCATGCGGGCAGCGCTCGACGCGGTTTCGCTGGCCACCGACGCGGGCGAGGAGGGCGGCGGCTTGTGCTACGCGACGGGCCTCGCCCAGTACGGTGCCCAAGCTGCGGCCCGGCCAGTCGGGGGGGAAGGCTTGGCCTTCGCGCCGCGCGGCGCCATGAGCTCCCAAACGCCGCAGGCGGTGCGGCAGGAGTGGGCTAGCTACCCTGCCGACCGTCGTGTCCTTTGACCTCTTCGGCGGGATTGAAGCCTCCATGGTGGCGCTGTCGAGGCGCCCGTGCCGCGTTGTCATGTACGTGTCGTCGGAGATTGACAAGGCGGCGAAGCGTCGCATGCAGCAGAGGTGGCCCGGAGTGATCGAACTTGGCGACATCACCAAGATCACGTTTGAGGCCTTGGCTCAGCTGGGCTGCTCGGGGAGCCAGGTGGCCTCCTTCGCCGTCATCGCGGCGGGGTCGCCGTGCGTCGACCCGAGCGGGCTGAACGTTGCAGGGAAGGGGCTCCCCGGCAGCAAGAGCGGACTGTTCTTTGAGCTGCCGCGGGCCTTCATGGCGATAGAGCAGGCGTTCGAGATCGAGCGCGCGCGCTGGCTTGTGGGGGGCGTTGCTGGGATGCGCTCGGAAGATGTGGCAGTGTTCTCACAGCAGCTGGGGGCCAACCCGTATAGGATCGAAGCGATGGTCGTGGGCCTGGTGAGGAGGCCTCCGCTTTACTGGCTATCGTGGGCCTTGCAGGCACGCGCTGGGGTGAATGACATCACTGACGAGAAGAAGTACTTCAAGATCAAGCTGCGCGCGTCGCCGTCCGACTTTCCTGCCGGGGCTGAGGACGGCTGGGGCCTGCCCGAGCCCAAGCGCGCGATGCCTACCTTGGCCCGGTGGCCGGTATCAAGAGTGCGTCCGAGGCCGCGAGTTCGAGGTGGACGGAGGCTAGCTACGTCTCACAGGTGCGTAACTTCGAGAATGAGGACTTGCTCTGGAGCACCGGGCGTACTGCCTGGCGGATTCCCACTGCTGATGAGCGTGAGGCCCTGACGGCCTCGACCGCTGGTGCACGCGCGCGGCCGTGAAGGAGTCCGTTCCGAGGAAGGCATGGCCTCGATCGGGGCTGCAGACCAATCTGTGGACGCGGCCGACTGGGCACAGCTACCCCTGGCGCGAGGACGGGCGCATCGATGAGCTGGAGGTCGGGGCCGCGGTCAACGCCATCAAGTGGAGGTTGCAGACTGCGTCCAGGTTCAGGCCAAGATACCTTCACTTGCTTGACTCGCAGGTGGCCGCCAGTGTCTGGCCAGGGGCAGGAGCAGGGCGAGACGACCTCGGGGCTGGATGCGAGGCCACGCGGCGTACCTCCTCGCCACTGGCTGCTACCCAATGTACGCCTACATCGACACATGCGACATCCCAGCGGACATCCCGAGCCGCTAGTCTGACGGGTGCCGCGGGGCCCGCCCCCCGCCGTGGACCGCGCGGTGCGGGGGCGCAGGGCAGCCGAGGCGTGGGCGCGGCGGGCGGCGAGCCCAGCCGCTAGGTGCCTCGCGCGCTGCTGCGGTCACGCGAGAGCGCTATGTCGCCCCCAAGCGCAGACTGCTGGCGTTCTGGGCAGCGACGGGCAAGCGGCCCGACTCGTTCAGGAGGTTGACGAGGGCGTTGTTGCTTACAGTGAGCAGTGTGGCGCAACAGTGGCTTGCTGCTGGAGGTGAACAACACCTTGGCAGCCATCCCTTTCTTTTTTTTCCCACGCCGCGGATGAGCGGCAAGCTAGCTGAGCGAGTCTGGCGTGGTTGAGGCTGGGGCCCACCGTGCGCGCCCTGCCGTTGTCGCCGCTGTCAACGGGTGCCATCGCGGGCGCTTTCTGCTGGTGGAACCATGGGCGGACCGCCGTAATGCTGCTGGCAGGATACGCGTGTTCCCAGAGGTCAGGCGAGATGCTGCACCTCAGGTGTCGAGACGTTCCAATCTTCTCAGTGCGCGGAGTAACGATTTTGTCGCTGCAAGAGACAAAGGACCAGCCAGCGCGGAGGGCACTCAAAGCTGGCGGTCGTGCGTTCGCAGACAGCAGTGCGCTTGCTAGTGAGTACGGGGCGCCGCTGGCGCCTGATGATTTGCTTCTCGGTTCGCCGCGCACAAGCTTTGCCGCCTGTCTCGACAAACTATTGCTGCCCTCGGCCCAAGCCAACAACAAATCACCCTCTACTCGATAGGAGAGGGGATGCCACTGCTGATTTCTTTTCTCACGGATCTCTTGAGAAAGTGCTTTCGCAGAGGTCGTAGGGCGAGCGTCAGGTTAGCTCGCACATGCGTTGGGGGCGCCGTGGCAGCACTGGCAGGCTGCCAACTTCATTCTCAGTAAGAGGCCGATGCGCCAGAAGTGGCATCGCATCTAGCCTGCTCAATTTTCCCCGCTCCTCCAACCCCTCTTTATTTTAGAGGCACATTCTGACATCCTTCTTTCCTCCTCTCCGTCTGTGACAGCACGCGAGTAGGGAGTTATCCAGGCAGGGATATTGGGGAATCGCCCATCGAAACGATGCGCAGAGATGGGGTCCATGGAAGAGTTGCGGTTTCCTGATGTGCTTCCCGGGCCCAGGGGATTCTGTCCTGGGGGTGCCTGTCGCTCGAGCTCGCCTGTCTGGGGCCCTCCCCGGAGCAAGGTCAGGGCTGGCGGTGCGGGCTTCTCCTCTACCCTCTCAGGGAGGGTGGGCGCTTGCTCGTGGCGTCTCATCGGGCCCCGGTGACATCAGGCTCACCTGCACTCAACTGAACACAGTGCTCTGGCTGAGCCGTAACATGATGGGGGGACGGGGGCTCCGAGTGGTTGATGCCCCAGGAAATGCCCAAATAAACGGCCAGCCGTCCGTGGATTCAGTAGTCATCTTGTGCCACCTCCCGTGTTTTTGCTTGGTTTTTGCTTTCAGAGTTGCGGTTTCCTGATGTGCTTCCCGTGCCCAGGGGGTTTTGTCCTAGGGGTGCCTGTCGCTCGAGCTCGCCTGTCTGGGGCCCTTCCCGGAGCAAGGTCAGGGCTGGCGGTGCGGGCTTCTCCTCTACCCTCTCAGGGGGGGCGGGCGGTTGCTCGTGGCGTCTCCTCGGGCCCTGGTGACATCAGGCTCACCTGCGCTCAACTGAACACAGTGCTCTGGCTGAGCCGTAAGATGATGGGGGGGGGGGGACGGGGGCATATATATATATATATATATACACATGTATATATATGTATATGTATATATATATATATATATGTGTGTGTGTGTGTGTGTTTGTGTGTGTCTGTGTGCGTGTATGGTCGTAGCCTTGAGTTCAAGCCGTCTCCTGGGGGTGTCCTTCCCCCTTGGGTCGGGCTCAGAGGGCCAGCGCTTCTGTGCGCGCGCTAGCTCCCGTATGTGGCCGCCCAGCCAGGAGCTAGCTTTTGTCGTCCACAACAATTGGGGCGGCATCGAGGATAACGAGGCAGGCGCTGGAAGTGCAGGCGGCAGAGGACGAGGCAGCTCGCCCCCCCAGCAGGCTGAAGATGGCTGTCGAGACGACGGACCTGCGCTTCTTTTTGATGCTCTTCTTCTCCTCTCGGAGGAACGGACCAGTCATCCACCGATCTGATTTATGTAGAGCGACAACATGTCTTGCAATGCGGCCTTTGCGAGATGCAGCGCGCTACGCCGGCTCGTGCCATCGTTTTCAGACGTGGTGATAACATGCACCGACAACCCACGCTGCCGTCAAGTGTGCCCAGCCAATTATGAAACATGGGCTTGCGTGGGCGTGACGGAGGAGGGCGACGTGATTATTGTGTGTGTGTGTGTGGGAGAGTGGGGTCTATCGCAGCCTCAATGCCCACGAACAGGCCCAGTGCCAGGAGTAATTGCATGGGTGGATTTGTGATGCTACTCGGCACTTTCACGATGGCGGCAGAACCATTGGCCTCTGCCTCCCATGGTTCCTGTCCTGGAGACAGGGACGCGACGTTGCTCCGCAGCCCGAAGGCAGCGCGCTACCCATGCCAGATGGCACAGCTCTTCCAAGCATGTGAGGTTTCATTCAGAAGCATGCAAGCATTCATCGGGCGTTACCGTTGTAACTGCGTAGATGCGACTGCACTCGGAATCCATGTCGCGAGGGTGATGCGTCTGCGCTTCACACTGCTGCATGCGTTTTGTGAAGAGCATCTTGCGGAAGGCTATCAGCGCGCGCCAGAAGAAATTGAAAGGGTCGCCCTGGCCAGCAGCAACTATCGGACGCAGCCGCGCGTGCAGATGTCTCCCCCGATGTCGTCGCACTAGCAGGGTGCGCTCCCATCGCGTGGGCCTCATCTTCGTGCCGCTTCCAGAGGTCCTTGTGGTCGGACTGGGCCGTCAGGTGCTTGACGCCGATGGGCGGTTAAGGAGGGGCGCGGCTTATTGGGATGCGGGCAGGGCAGAGATAACAGCGGCGAGTGCTGCGCCTTGTTAGTGGGTTTCGTTTCGTTGATGAGATGCAGTGCATCGTCAACCCTGGCAGGTTAGCTGCGTGATTGCTTGCCGAGCCCAGTATTTCGCGCCGAGCTTTGTTATTTGCGCGCGCGTTTCGCCGGGAAACTCCACAGAAACCGCGAGATCAGCTGGACATGCGTCCGCGACGCCCTGGCCACCTGAGCTTTTTGGCGCATTGGAAGGGAGACCCATGGGGCTCGCGGGCCAGGGGCGGCCAGGACGGCAGCGGCTCGCTGAACTGCCTTATCGGAACGCGGCCAGCACGAGGTTCATGTTCGACGGGGGAGCTGTTGGCAACGGCGCGCCAGACGAACTTGCGTGCTTCCCGCGGCAACAGGCGGAGGACCTACTCGGTGAAGCGGCTGCCGTATATATATACACACATATACATATATGTATGTATGTATGTATATATATATATATATATATATATATATATAAATTATTTTATATATACATACATATATATATATATATGTGTATAACTATGTGTATATATACACATATATATATATGTATATATATATATATATATATTAATATATCACTAAGAATAACAGGCTGTCGGACGGACCCCTGCGACGGGGCAGCTCGTTCGGGCCGGTGAGGAGTTGGGCGCCCTGCCGTGCGTCGCGGGGTCGCTGCGTCCGAGGATTCCCGGCTAGCGGGAAGCGTGGGGCGGGGCGCGATTCGCGCCGCCATTCATGCAGCGGCGTCAATCATTTCTTTTGCCCATTGGCAGGCGCGCGCGACGCCCCGCGCGAACGGAACGCCCAGAAATGTTAGGTCTCGGCGTAACCGAGGACGCCGCGGGCGCCGAGGGCTCCTGGTTGGGATGGGGGTCCGTCTCGGGGGGGTCAGGGCCATCCGAGGAGGGCGAAGGCGATGCGGATGAGCGTCCGTGCGTCGCGGTCGTTCGCGGGCGGGCAGGAAGTCTCCTGCTCTGTTTTTAGCGGAACCAGGTCCCAGACCCATCGAGGTCACGGCCGCGGTTTGGCAACGTCACGAGCAACTCAACGCGATCTTTTGTGGGCCAGGACAAGAAACTGCAGTCGTGGAGGGCGCGCCGCTTGGTGCTGACGCGTCTCCGGGCGGGGCCGGGGGGCGACGCCTGCGTGCGCGGCGCCCCCCCTTCCAAATGAACCGCGACGCAGCGTTGAGATCAGAGCGACATTGCGCGCGCCCGCGCTTGCTCTGCGAAGGGGCGCAGGACAATGTCAGAGTGGGCCACGCGCAGGTAGGCGCGCGAAGAAGGGGGGGCGCAGGCGTGACATCGCTCCCAGTGTATTCTCGGTCGAAAACCGCTCTGCAGACGATTGCGTTGTCCGCGGGCGCCCTGGGCGGGCGGGCGCTGGGCGTGCCATCCTCGATCGCTGCCGCGCGGGCATGTTTC